TTGAAGGGTGACTGTTCAGTATGCTGAAGTGAGTTCGTTTCTCCGTGGGAGCAATAACACCTCCAGAAGGAACTGAAGAAAATCATTTTACTTGCAGCAACATCAGAAAGAAGATCAAGAAGCAGTTTTGAAACTTACAAGTAAATTTAACAAAATGTGAAAAGCTTAGACATTTGAATGTATAAAACATTGTTGGAAGACATTAAAGGACATTCAAATGAATACCTACATAGCCCATGTTCATGGATAGGAGGATGTGATACTGTGTAGATACCAGTATCCCTCATGTTGATCTACAGGGTGGATTCTGTTTCCTTCAAAACTGGAATTTTAGTCTTGAACTTCACATGAAAATGAAAAATCGGGAGCTGGAGAGATGACTCAGAGGTTAAGAGCACTGGTTGCTCATTCTGAGTTCAATTCCCAGCAAACACTTGGTGGCTCACAACCATCTACAATGAGATTTGGTGCCCTCTTCTTGCCTGTAAGCAGACATGCAGGCAGAACACTGTACACAGAATAAACAAATAATTAAGAAAAAAAAACTTGAAGATTCTCTTTTAAAAAGGAAAAGAAAATGAAAAAGACGCTGAATAGACCAGCCAAGGATGGAAACACAGAAGGAAGCCTCTCACTTCCCATTAATTAAAAACACAAGGTGTTGTGACCATGGACATTAGAGAACTGAATAGAATTGAGGTTTTAGAATTGATTTTTTTCAAACTCTGGTGCCATAGTAACTCAGTGGGATAAATAATAGCCTTTTCTATAATTGGTTCTAGAACCACTGGGTATCCATCACAAAAGAATGAAGCTGATTCACTTTCATGCATCATATACAGAGTTAGCTGAACTAGAGTCAGTAATAAGTCAATAAAAACCAAACCACTATACTCTAGGAGGAAACATACAATCACAATTTCATTGTGACATTAGAATAGATAATGATTTCATAGGCCCAACTCCAAAAGTACAAGGGAAAAAAAATGAATTCAAAACAAAACAAAATGAGAATTCACTAAAATTAAACATTTTGTGTTGCAAGTGAAGCCATCAAGAAGGCATAAAAAACAACTTATAGAATGGGAGGGATATTTGAAAACTATGTATCTTGAAAGGGCTTCATCTATCATATATAAAGAACTTTGATAATTCAACAGTAAAAGGATAAAGCTGTTAGCTCCAAAGTTGACATAGAAACTGAATACACATTTCTCCCAAGAGGATATGCTAATTACCAATGAACTGTGGTGACAATAATGTTTGATTTATTAAAGCCACTGAAGATCTAAATAGCAAAGCAGCCATACTAGTTAGATATAGAAGCTAGGTTCACACCTTTAATCCCAGGACTCAGGATTAAGAGGTAGACGGATCTCTGTTAGTTCAAGGCCACAATGACTACACAAAATTGATCGCCTCCTAAAACAAACAGCTCACACAAAGGTAATCTCAGTACCTGCGATCAAACACCTTTTATCCCAGCACTAGCAAGGTGGAGACAGAAGCGATATGACTGGGTGGAGAAAGGAATATAAGGAGGAGGACACAGGATCTGAGAGCCTTTTGCCTGTGAGGATTTGTGGGGACAGGACTGCCATTTCAGCTGGGTAGATGTAAGATCTACTGACTTGGCTTTTTTTTCTTCTTCTTCTTCTCTGATCTTCAGCTTGAAGGTTGAACACCAATACCAGTCTTTGGGTCTTTTATTTTTCATGCTACAATGAACGCATAAAAAGGTTCTCAGTGTCATTAGCCAGGAGAGAAATGCAAATGTAAACCACAATAATGTGATCACTCATGTTTGCTAGTGTGACACAGGGATTATGTAGACAGAAATATTGTAAGAGCCAGAGGATAAGGGAGCTGCTAGGAGCTACTTCCCTAAAGTCTTACCAGCATGAGCTGAACAAGAATAACAGCAATAGAGGTGCTAACATGAGTGAGGGAAAGACCACAGGGCCTGAATCCAATACAGAGAACTATAAGCAAATAAGGAATACTGAGATTGGGAGAAATAGCCTTTGCCAGGGAATAGCACTCCAATTGGTTATCCAATACCAAATGGTCAGCCCTGAAAAGATACATACAAGTAACATCATACAGACTCAGACTGAAGAGGTTCTATTTGTATATTTGGGGGGAGGTGTGTGCATATTCGACCACTCACACACACGCATGCATGCCTATGTATGTAACAACAATAATGGAAAAAGAACCCATGAATTCAAAAAGGAGCAAGGAAGGGTACACGATATGGTTTGGAGGAAGGAAAGGAAAGGGGGAAAAGGTTATAATCCCACTATAATCTCAAAAGATAAAAGATAAAGAAAGAAGAGACAGGTGGCAAAAGTGCCGTAAAGATGCAGGTATGTGTCGTGAGTGCACTGCTGGTGGGATGTGAATGACGTGTCCCACTTTGGACAGCAGTTTGATTCTTCCTCAGAAGTTAAACACAACATTATTCTGAGCCAGCAATTCCATTTGTAAGTGCATACTCAAGAGAAATAAACAGACACTTCTCCAGAAAGAACTGGCAAACAATGTCCATAGCAGCTATTTTCACATTAGCCCGAGTCTGCAAGCAACCCATATGCCCATCAAAGGTTGAACGGACAAACAAGATGCCGTCTGTGCATGCAGCAGAGGATTTCTCAGGCTTAGGAGGGAGGCCAGTACCAATTCTTAGTACAGCGGGAAACCCTGAACATCATGCCAGGTCAAAGAAGACAGTCAGAAAAGACCAGCTGTCATCCTGCTTACATGAGATGATCATGTAAGACAAATCTATAGAGTAGAAAGTGTATTCATTGTGTGTGGGGGTGGGTGCCATGCAGTTGGTGACGGCTAATGAGTTTCCTATTATACTTAAAGTTGCTGTAGTTTGAATTGGTGATGGGTACTCAACTCAATGTACAGTAGGTGTGAATTGAATTTCAGGATTTTTTTAAAAAGTGGAAAAATAACAAATGCCTAAAAGGGAGAAAACTAATCTGGCCACCTCCTCCATACCCAGCACTAATGTTTTCTATATTTTCTTACTTGGTTGACTGCACAGGGAGACATCCCGTTTCCCTTGCTTTTGGTTTTGTCTTGATTTTATGTTATCACATACATGAACTTGTTCCTATGTATTCCCTCAGATGTGAATGTGTGTATGTGGTTGAGTAGGTATGGGCTAAGGCTGGTGTGTGGAAGTGGAACAACTTGCAGGAGTCTGTTCTGTCTTTCCACCATGTGGGTTCTGGGGATGAGACTCACTTCATCTGAGTTGCTGGCAAATGTTTTTTATCCACTGAGCCATCCCAGTGGCCTTGTTTTTTGTTTGTTTTGTTTTGTTTTTGAGACAGGATTACACTGTATATGCTAGGCTGGCCTAGAATTCACTGTGTGGCCCCTGCTGACACCTGCCTCAGCCTCCTCAGTGTTGAGATGACAGGTGTGAGCCACCACACTTGTCCTGGCATTTCCCTTTTTGGAGAAAGCTGTATGACACACGTAGTCACCCAAGCTGACCTTTGCTTCCTACCTTTTCAGTTCATCTGGGAAGGTCTGGGAACTTCTCAATTCGCTGTTGTGTATGTATCTATTCTATTGGGCGTCATGCGTGGGTGACTTCTAGTTCTGTTTATCTGTGTAATTATTACTCCTCTTTATGTACACACTTGGACTCTTTTCTTAGGTAAGTGTCTTGGAAATTGTTGATTTCCTAAGATCAAATATCACAACCTGGGTGACTTAAAGCAACAAATTCATAGTTTCTTTCTTGGAGTCTCTGTCTGAAGCCAAGATGTCTACTGATGGACTCCTTCTTGGTGGCTGTAGGAGCCTTGTCATAATTCTCCTGGCTTCCTAAGGTTGTTCTCAATCCTTAGCTTTCTGAAGCTTGCTCATCTATTACTCAGGTCCCCCCTATCCCATTGATGTGTATACAAAAAATAATGTATATTTTTGCTGCATAATGGATTCTAAAACAAAATGGACTTGTTTGTTATATGCTGTGGGTTTCATACCATTTGTATAAAGCCTACTCCACAGAATAGTTTCCCAAGTTTAATTTGTTGCTTTTATGTTCCAATTACAAATACAGTAGAGATCCTTGAAGATCTGTCATTGTGTAAATTAGAATTTTTTTTGTAAAATGTATTTATTAGGATTTAGGGCTTTCAATCAAATGGAAGGGTTACTTTTGTTGTTAAAATTGCATTTATAGCACATCTCTTCTTACTTTTCCCCACATTCATTTCTAACAGGTAGATATAGACACACACACACACACACACACACACACACACACACACAATGAGACAGGGTTTCAGGTACCCAAGGCTAGCCTGGAATTCATGTAGTCAAAGATAACCTTGAACTCCTGATCCTTCTGCCTCCACCTCCTGAATATTAGGGTTACATACATGCTTGTTTTATGTGGTACTGAGTATGAAACCCAAGGCTAAGTATGTGCTAAGCAAACATTCCACTGAATTATGCCTCCAACCCTAAGAGGAATATATTCAAGTATCTGACTGCCTCTATAAACAGAAAATATTCCCCTTGATAGGTTTATTTAGTACCTAGCATCAGACCCCAGTGTCAGCCTTTCTTGTGGTGTGTCTTTTTTATAAGAAAGGAAATGAACAGGCTCCCCATGTGTATTTGGATGGCTATTTTGATCAAACACAAAAGTGGAACTAATTGTTTGTACTAAAAGCAGAATTCACTAGAGACTGTCTTGTGTGTTCCAACTCTAGTAAGCCACCCTTATCCTGATCTACCCCTTATGGTTCTGGGTTAGCATTGATGTCTTGTGTCCTGAGAAATTCTTGTTGCTTTCACCTTGAGGTCATTGCCCATTTAGAGTGATGTGGTATCCTGTCATATCTCATCTCTCACTAGATGGAATCTTGAAAACCCTGAGAAATGGGTTATTTCTGAGTAGATATGGATGGCACCTAGTTTTAGATCATCAGTTTGTGCCTGATGTTGTCTGTTTCATTGTGTAGGTCTCTTCATGTGCTTGTGTGTAATGCGGGGACTTTTGCTCTACCCTGGACCCTCACGAAAGATGGCCTGGAGACCACCTTCCAGGTGAACCACCTGGGACACTTCTACCTTGTCCAACTCCTGCAGGATGTTTTGTGTCGCTCAGCCCCTGCTCGTGTCGTCGTGGTCTCTTCTGAGTCCCACAGGTGGGTTTGAATTTAATTTGATATTTTCCACTTGCCCCTTTGTTTACAACATCTGAAAATTCTCTCCAAGGCTCCAACTGAAAATAATCTTGACTTGAGCCTGGAGAGAGGGCTCAGCACTTAAAAATTCTTATAGAGAACACAAGTTCAGTTCCCAGCCCTCAGGTAGGTGACTCATAGCCACCTGTGACTTCAGCCATAGAGGATCCAGCACCCTCTTCTGGTCTCTGCAGAAATCATCACACACACACACACACACACACACACACACACACACACACACACAGAGAGAGAGAGTCTTAAAAATACTAATTTTGATTAGATTCATATGAGAAACATGAATTGCACAACCTGGCTTCATTAATTTTTCTAGATCTTTCTATATGTGTAGTCATGGGGAATTGCTTGTGGGGGTACTGTCTAGAGTAATATAGAGTGATTTTACAATTATACCTTAGGCTCCCCATTGATTTCATTCAGAGATGGAATAATAATTGATTAAATCTGAATGGCATGACCTTTATTGATTTGTAATTCAACAACTTCAAAGTCTCACCGAGAGGAAAGCGCAGTTATTCTAGCAGGGGAAACAATGCAGTTAAAGGCCTCGAGATGAAATCCAATTGTTTTATAATGAGAAATTAGGGAATTCAATGCAGACATTAGCAGTGTAATTGCAGAAAGGGAAGGACTGTAGTTAGCGAGTATTGGAAATCTGGCCATGCCTCTTTCGGTTAGAATTTCAATTTACACATCAGATGGCGTTTCTTTCTGATTGCCATTAGACTATTCAGTCGACGAGAAAGACATCTGAAAACATCGTGCTGTTTTCAACATATTTGTGCTGGAGTTGGATAAACAACTAACTGTTTCTAAGAGAAGTGCTGAGAAAAGACAAAGGGTTTTCTGGGCTGTCGAGGCAAGATTTACAGCTTGTTAGGGAGACTTCTCTTCCCAGTGTTCCTGGTGTTGGGGACTAGAGGGGCGGGGGTTGCCTCCTTAGTAAAGTAGCTAGGGATAAATAAATAAATAATAATGTGCCAAGGACTATTTTCTTTCTCTTCTTCTCCACCTTAAGTCCTGAAATGTTTTGGTGACCCAGAATGCGGCTTATTTTTTTAATCATACTTCCATAAAATGTAACCCCTGGGACTTTGAAGAGGGAGACCAGCCAAGGGTTAGCTTGAACCCTTTATCACTCCCAAACACAGGGGCTTATGGTGTAAGTGACACACCGCAGACAGATTTACTCTTGCCAGTTTAAATTTATGATGGCTGCAATGAAAGGGAAACTCGGGTAATAATCCTCCCCTGTTCGAAAAGACACGAAACATCTAGTAATTAGGTAGTAACAAAATCTGGCCAGGCTTATCTTTGCAAATCACACCAGGTTTGTGAAAGAAAGGGAGTGGCCCCTGCAAAGCAGTGAAGGAGGCTACTGTGGGGGCAGGCAGGAGAGAAAGCTGTAGAAATAAATCTGCCAGCCCCAATCGCTTACCAGATGTGGAGGGCACCACGGGATATGTTTAAATGAGCTGGTATTTAATGGGAGACAGTGTAGAGGTGTCAGCTGCTCACTCCCTCTGTAAAGCTGTCTCAGATGCCATTTCCTGGGACGCCTTTGTTCTCTCTGTAACCACAGTGTAATTCCTGCTTACTTGGAGATCCAAGTCCTACTTTCATTTTAAAGATGAATTTGGAAGGAAAGACTGTGGCCTCCTGAATGAGATTCATTGTCATTTCTAGCGAGGCCTAACTGACATGTGTGTAAAAGACCTGCATCTGTGCGCCGACTGGCTCTTCTCGTCCACTTTCTTCTTATTAACATTCTTACAAAATATTAATTCCTACAAGCTGGACGTTTATTTCTCTTTTGTTGCATTCCTGAGCTCCAGAGAACAAGCATGGATGCCAGGCACACAGACAGAGCTGGCTCACTACTGAAGAACCCAGAGCCGAAACCAAACTGTAAAATGCAAGTGTTGATATCTAATTACCTCCATAAACCTTGGCGGAATCTCTTCGTTGGAGTCAAGACCCCCTGTTAGGGGAAAAATAAAGTCTTATGTTTGCAGAAAATATTATACTGGATGCCCTCAGGCGAATTATTTATTAACCACTCTCTATCTTCACTGTGTTTTACTTACTTGGAGTCTGAGCGAGTGAATTGAGTTTCTGCCTGTCTAAAATATATCATAATGAAATGGGAAGTTGGCTTCCACGCTGTGAAAATTTTTCAGATAACAATTAAAATAGAATGAAAAGAGCAGAGAGCTGGTCGTACAGCTCTAAGCAGCCTCAGCACTAGAAACTGGCAGGCGAATATGTACAATCAGAGACACAGTCACACACATATAGTTACACACATGCAACAACCCCACATAACCAGCCAGAGTCCCACACTCACTCAAGCCCCCAATCTCACATGTAGAGTCTCATACATATACAGCCATGCAAACAACCAAGTACAACCACACATAGTCACATATACACTCATACCCCAACACAGCCTCACCTTTGTAGACTCTCAGACACATAAACACATAAAATTGCACATAACCAGAAAAAAACACATATACTACAAAGTTATATAACCATGTCCACAGTCTCACATAGTCACACAACCATACATAGTCCCATATACAAAATCACACATGTGCAGTCACAACCACAGGAAACCACATATAGTCAGAGATAGACATCCCAGTCACACATAATCACACACAATCATAGACAAAAATCATCCCATCACAAATGTACACACACAGCATGCACATGTCACCACAAACACACAACCACACACATACAGTTACACACACTCAGAATTTCCCATGCAAATCCACTTCTGCTACTTGAATACACTAGCTGTTGTCCATGTGAGTCCATTCTCATTTAATTTTAGTTTTGGAATTAAAAATTGTTTCAGCTTTATCAGAGACATATGTAAGAAATAGAAGACAGGGACTCATGGGGGCAGTCAGTATCTGGGGAGTAGATGTCAGACAACCTCTTTATTGACAGCAGGGACACTGCTCAGACCTTGACTTTGCCAGACTTTCAACTTGAAAACAGCAGGCAGCCTTGAAAAGCTGCTTTGCTTCCTCTTGAGCAGCCAGATCAATGGGTCATGTTCTCAGATCCTCACTCACTTCTGCATGGATGGACCAGTTGTTAGTATTCAGGCATCTGTACTGGCCTGTCCTTGGGGTTCTGACAGGACACGCCCTCAGCTGCAGTCACTAAGAGCACCTCCTGTGCACATTCACTACCTTCCCTTTTAAAAGGGCCTTGCCCACCTCCCATTTTTCTTTCTCTGCTTCTCTGCCTGTCTCTCTGTCTTTCTTCCCCCTCCCCATCTCTCTGCCTCTCTTTTCTCTTCTGCTGCTCCTGTCCCCAGAGGCCAGTAGCCCCTCCCCTCTCCCCCTTTTCCCATTTACTTTCCTTCAATAAAAAAAAAAAATCCATCCAAGCTCTGTGAATTGGCATCTTTCTCTTGTGCGCTGCTTTTTTGAATTACAATACCAGAAGTGTGCCCACCCTTCCCACTTCCTTAAGAACTGATGGCATAATCTAGTGAGACCTTCAGGAGTCAGGGTTCCATGTGCCCTGCGGTTCCATCGGCAACACTAAAGAAACAATAGATATTATAGACAAGTTTACTTTGCCCAGTGTTCCCCAGTCATGAAATCAGGGGCCCATCCAAACACCAGGAGACACTACCTGCAAATGTATAACCAAGAACTTTGAGAGGGTGATCTTCATGGTCAGTGTTTACCTTTCCAAGTGAGACTTGGAACTGTATTTTTTGTAATAAACGACACTTGCTATAAGTTCTGAATTCTAGCCTCATGATAGCCTTCAGTTGTAAAATCCCGGATTAGGTTTCCATTTTAATCCTGACACTGCCTACTCACCAAGAATTCCCAGCCTAGCATTTGAACCAGGTAGACAAATGACTGGCAGTTGGTGTTAATACCAGAGGGGTAGTGGAAATGTAGGACACAAAAATGGCATTGCTAGCTGTGCTACTGATCTTGGAGGGACGATGATGTCACAAAACACTGGGAGTAACATCATAAAGCTGGTCCTGAAGAATGGATATTGAATTACCATGAAAACTGAAATCTCAATCTCTTTTTTCAATCTATCTGTCTTACCACCAAGAAATCCTTGTGTCATCAAGCTGGTAGAGCTTCCAGGAGGAAGTGTCCTTAGTCTGGGTTCATGTGAATGCTTTGGCTAGGGAGATTTTATAAGAACAAGAGAAATAAGCATTGAGTGAAGGGTGCCATATTTATTCCATACCTTTCAGAGATTTGTGTGTGCTCAAACATCCTTCTGTAACACCTCATTGCCATATTAAAATCAAGTTGAAAAGTAGTATCACTTCCCCTTCACAGACATATTTTTTTTAGTTCACTATGATGGTGTAAGTCTACTATAAAGAAAGCATAAACTAGAAACAAAATAACAACATTGAACTACTTGGGCAGATCTATAGGGAAGACAAACTAATGTAAACCACCTGCACAAAGACTGTCAACAGTAGGCTCCACTGCAGATTCCAGTGCTACCAATCAAACCTCACACCCCTGAACCCCAGGACATCCAAGAGTGCATTCACTCCTCATTTGCAGAGTTGATGCATGGGACTGAAGGTTCAGTCAATGTTAAAACTGTGCACATATATGAAATACTAGCTGGAGACTCTGAGAATTCCACCCAACCTTCATATCTGTATGAGTGTCCATGGGGCAGTCATCATGGACCATGATTCTTGTCTTTGCAGGGTGCCTGCCTGCGCTTGTCCCCCCAGTAGTCATCCCTTCCCTCATAACAAAGACCCTGAAAATTTTTACATCTCTTGCTAAGTTCTTTTTGACTTGGACAATTAAGCTTGAAGTCTGGAGTCCTCCTGTGGCTTCAGGACATGTAAACAGGAAAGCAACAGTTAGCTGCAAGGTGTCACTGTCATTCCCTCGGTGACATTATCATTGCTGATTTCTGGGTAGCAGCATTCTGCATCTGAAGTGAATGTCACTGAGTCCTGGGAGAGAGGAATATTATTTCTGTTAACATGACTGTCATCTTCTGCAGTGGTTTGAATGAGAAATGTCTGCTATTGTCTTGGACATTTGAATACTTGGGTGGTGGCAGTGTTTATGTAGGTTTATGAGGTGTGGCCTTGCTTCAGTGTGTCACTGGGAATGAGCTTTAAGTGTTTAAGAACCAGTGCCATTTTGAGTGTGTTCTTTCAGCTTTATGTTTGTGGTGTGTGCCATGGCTTCGTGCTCCTGCTGCCATGTGTCCACCATGGCCTCCACCATCATGGCCTCTAGCTCTCTGGATTGATAAGCCCAAATGAACACTTCCTTATGTATGTTGCTTTGGTCATGGTGTTTTATCACAATAACAAAAATTAACTGACACACATACCTTGTTTTTCTTATGTTTTTTTTTTTTTTTTTACTTTTATCTGCATTTATTTTATGCTGAATTTATTCCCTTGCCATAAGTTTTTGTTTCTTCAGTTTCTTCTGGGATATCTTTTTCTTCTGTGCAACCTCCTCTTCTGGCTTTGGAACAATCTGTTCCTTTTCTGTGAGGATCATTTCGATGTGGCAGGGGGAGCCCATTTATGGGTTAATCCGACTGTGAGCTCTGTAAGTTCGGCGAAGCATCTTAGGTGCTTTTTTTCACCTGGATGTGTTCAATGACCAGAGAATCTACATCTAGACCCTTAAGCTCAGCATTACTCTCTGCGTTTTTAAGTATGTGCAGCAAAAATTAAGCACTCTTTTTCAGCCACCGACCCTGTGTCCAGCCCCACGGTTTGGCCCGGGTGTACCTGCCGACTCCACCATTGTATCGCCGGAATGGCACACATTGCTTCTTCAATGTGACATCTTTCAGGTATTTGGTGGCTTTTCGGATATGCATACCTTGATGGCCTGGGTATTCTTAAAGTGAACCCGGAGATTTGAACCTCTTGACTTGCATGATTTTGTAGGGTTTTCTGGGTCGAGAGAGTATCGAACCATCTTCACAGGTTACCTAAGGTCGCTTACAGGAAGAGCTGTTTTTCTTAGTTTTAACTGATACAGAACTGTTCCTTCAAAGGAGCAAGGTTCATTCTTGATGCTTCTTTGCCATTTGTACTTTGTTTTCCATAGTCATTTTCTGCAACATTCTTATCTTGTTCCCTTACTATGTGCACTGGTTAGTATTATGTCAGCTTGACACAGGCTTGAGTCATCGGAGAAGGGGGGACCTCAATTGAGAAAGCACCTCCATGGTTTGGGTGTAGACAAGAAAGCCTGTAGGGCATTTTCTTAATTAATGATCGATGTGAGAAGGTCTAGTCCACTGTGGATGGGGCCACCTCTGGGCTAATGGTCCTGGGTTCTTTAAGAAAGCAGGCTGAGCAAGCCAGGTAGAGCAAGCCAGTAAGTGGCACTCCTCAATGGCCTCTGTATCAACTCCTACTTCCAGATTCCCACTGTGTTTGAGTTCTTGTCCTGACTTCCTTTGATGATGAACAGTAATGTGGAAGCATAAGCCAAATAAACCCCTTCCTCCGTAAGTTCCGTTGGTCATGGCATTTCATTTCAGCACTAGTAACCCTAAGTAAAACGGAAATTTGTAGCACAAGTGGGGTATTTCTGTGACAGACCTGCCCATGTTGTTTTGGGGAGGATTGTGGAAGGACTTTGGAACTTTGAGCAAGAAAAGCCATTCAAGTGTTCAAAGCTTGGTGAGCTGTTCTGTGGGAGTGTAAAAGAAAAGTGTTGAGAGAAATGCTGACGGTGGAGGCCTGGCTTGTGAATTTCCAGTGGGAAGCTGGAGAGTTACTTACAGACCATTGGGACCACAGCACAGTTTCCATTTTGAGTTAAGATTCTGTAGTTCTGGTCATCTGGAGCTATAAAGTCAACTGCGACTAACAAGAGACCAACACTACTGAACTGAAACCTTTGCTTTATGGGGACAATTGATGCTGGTCAGCTGATGAGGAAGAGACGTCACTGGAGTGAAATCTTCTGGGAAGGGGTTCCTCAGACTCAGCACACAGAAGCTGTGTTCCAGATGTGTCCAAGGTTGTACCTCCTGCTGGCAGCTGAAGTAGTATAAGAGTCACCCAGATGGGACTGGTTTTGAAGGCATGGGGAACAGCTGAGGTTTGGCATTGTGCCAGGCCAGAAGAGGCCATTGTTGAAGGTGAAGCCTCAGTAGCAGTTGAAGGCCCAGGACTAAGGGGTCATTCAGAGAAGTTGAGGCTTGACACCGTGAAGAGATCCCAGGAGGAGCTGTTGGTAAAAGTGCAGGTGGCTGCGTCAGGAGACCCCAGCATTTTGGAGATGCCAGTACCATGGGATGACCACCAAGAATAGCAGCCAGAGCCTAAAAGACAAACTGTGTACGTTGCAGAGGGTGGAGCCAGAGAAGTGACCCAAGGCACTTGGAGGACCCCAGAAGATTGTGAGTGAACCCCAGATATTGGACATTGAGTTATTTACAGTGTTGAAGCTTGGTTTTGCTTTGTTCAGATTGTGACTGTGTCCTGGTTCTTCCCTCTTGAAATAAGGACTGAATTTTAAAAGATTTTGGGTTTTAAAAGAGACTTTGAATTTTTGAAAAGACTGAATTTTAATGTGTTTGAATTTATAAATACTATGGGACTTTTAAAGTCATTTATGTTTTTTAATATGAGATCTTGGGGATGAAAGCGAAAAGAAAGGTATCAGCTTAACAGTGATGTATTTGTGTGTCAAGTTGATAAGGAGTCAGTTGTGCTGCATAGTTTTAGGTCAACTTGACATAAGCTAAAGTTATCTGATAGGAGTGAGAGAAAATGCCTTCATAAAATCAGGCTGTAGCAGAGCATTTTCTTAATGAGTGATTGATGGGGGAGGGGGAGGGCCCAGCCCATTGTGGTTGGTGCCATCCCTGGGCTGGTGGTCATGGATTCTATAAGAAAGTAATCTGAGCAAGCCGTGTCGAGCAAGCCAGTAAGCAGCACCCTTCCATGGCTTCTGCATCAGCTCCTCCCTTCAGATTTCTGCTGTGCTTGAGTTCCTGTCCTGACTTCCTGTGATGAAGAACAGTGATGTGGAAGCATAAGCCAAATAAACCCTTTCCCCTCCAAGTTGTTTTCGGTCATGAAGTTTCGTCACAGCAATAGTAAGCCTAGCCATGATACTATGCAATGCCCAAAGTAGCCATAGTGAAGCCAAGTATGGAAAGTCCTTAAACAAATATGATACTATCTAGAACATTCTTTTAGGTTGTTTTCTTATGATCCATTTTTTAAGGCAATAGCTTCCATTTTTTGACAAAGTGGTAGGTATAGAGAAAGCAAAAAGCTGGTGTTTAACAGCTCTGTCAGACTCTAAAATAAAGCATCAACTAGTTAGTTTGATTTGTGTGTGCCCAAGCCACGGGCATACTCAAAAACAGTAGACTTGGCCAGAACTTGGCCAGGCTTTGTTTATTTAATTTTTAAATGTAGAAGATTTTTGATGGCACCTCACCAAGGTTACAACCCTTTTATGATCATTAATTTTTAATCTGGAAAAGAGTCTTGGAGGCAACATGGCTCATCTGTATTAACTTAGATGCCCAAATGAAAATATACGGGACTCATGCATTTGGATAAAATAATCTCGGGGAAACACTGCCAAAGGTTAGGAATGTGATACTGCTTTCCTAATGCAGCTACCTTTTATCTAAGGCTTGTTTCTATTTAATTATCCTTGAATTTGTGGTTGAAAATATTGAGGCACACATGGACATACACACACAATACACACACACACACACACACAGAGAGAGAGAGAGAGAAAGAGAGAGAGAGAGAGAGAGAGAGAGAGAGAGAGAATTTTTCCTTTTTGATTTTTGAGATTGGATCTTACATTGAAACTCAGTCTAGTCACTATAGACCAGGCTAGCCCCAAGCTTAGGATGATTGTCTTGCCTGCCTGAAATTTCTGAATGTTATACATGAGGCTTGATTGAGGCTCAGAGGACCTTGAGTTTATTTGGTCTACCTCACTCCTGGGTATAGGTTTAAGCTTCCTCTTTGGATCAAACATCTTCTGTTTTTAAGGAACATGATGGTGAGGTATGCTAGATCAAATCTCCACAGTTTGTTCAGATTTCAAATCCAAAGCCCCATGGAAGCAGTGTCTTCTGTGTTCTATGTCATGCATTCTGTTTTTCAGATTTACAGATATTAACGATTCCTCAGGGAAACTTGACCTCAGCCGCCTGTCTCCATCTCAGAGTGACTACTGGGCCATGCTGGCTTATAATAGATCCAAACTTTGCAATCTCCTCTTCTCCAATGAGCTGCACCGTCGCCTCTCCCCACGAGGGGTCACATCAAATGCAGTGCACCCTGGAAACATGATGTACTCATCCATTCATCGGAACTCATGGGTATACATGTTACTGTTCACCTTGGCCAGGCCATTCACCAAGTCCATGGTAAGTGGCTGGCTTCTGGTACTCCCAGATGCCTTCAGTCAGCTTCACAAAAGGGCCTGCTAACCCAGACCTGTGCGCCGACTTGTGGTCTTATTGTTGTCTGCTCTGGTATAACAGAATCATTGTCAAAGACTCTCCAACACATCTGTATTACCTTTAGATTGGATTTATTGTTCTACCAGAGTCTTGGCAGCTTGGATAAGAGATGTTGGTTCTCAGTGTTAGGTGGAGAACACCTAAAAATCTTGGAGGTTTGGAGTGAGATGCGAGACAATCGTCTGTTTCCTCATAATGTGATTTCTGTTTTGGTTCACTTCTAAAGTCTACATTTGTGGAATGTGGCGCTTGATGTGTGTACCTTGTGTTAGTGGAAAACATGGATTAGGAAGTGTTAGGAGGTACAGTTCTTCTGGGTTCAGTGAGATTTTGTATCAGATGTTCTCGGTGCTTCTTGTATTGGAGGTCTGGGGATAGCTCCTTCCTGGGGAAGACTTTGTGGCCAGAATGGTGGTTATCTTTTGTAGCCCTGAAGACAAATCTTTGGTTGAGTCACACTGCTGTGGTTAGAACTGAAGTGTTCACAAAACTGAATATGAAGATTTTACATTTTTGTTGGTTGTTTATAAATGGTGTGTAAAAACCTCTTCCATGAATTATTAAAACATAAGTAAATCATATATTGATAGAAACATGAATAACTCTATCTCTACCAGTACCACCCAAAGTGACTTGAATGAAAAAGGTGCATGTTATGCAGCACATTTGGTCAGTCAGTTGCTTTTCGAAGCCTCAGGCTTTGAAAAATGTGTTTCTTTTAGGGCCAGGGAGATGACTTAGCAGGATAAGCATTTTCTGCATAAGTATTAAGAACTGGATTCATATCCCAGTGGACAGGTGAAAGTTGGGAATGACTTTGTACATGTGTAACCCAGTGCAATGAGAAAGCTTGTCTCTAAATAAATTAATAAATAATAAACACAATGGGGAGTGTCAAAGGAAGAGCCCAACGTCTACCTCTGACTTATACAATGCACACATGGATGTGTGCAACACATATACATATTCCACACCTACACACATGGGATAAATAATACAAGTATTTTCTTTTGAATTGCTATATCCATGGTGCAGCTGCTGATATTGCTTTTAAATAATAGAAATTATTCTTCACACACACACCCTTTGGCCTTTGGACTAGACTAGCTATCTTTCTGGTGGTGGCAAGGAAGCTAAGTGGCTGCCTAGCATAGTGGACCAACTGGCTCTCCTTAACATTCCCCTGGATCAAGATCCAAGGTGTTTTCTGGGCATCAGGACAACTTAGGAAAGTTGCATCAAGCACCTGCCACCTACATCCCAAAGAGATGCCCCTAGGACTGACAAGAATGAGCATTATACCTCAACTCATGGACATAGGATTTGTCTAGTGGTTATCATCTGTCCATTGGCCACTTGTAGCAATTGAGACCTTGACATGGGCAGCACAACTGAGGAAATTCTGAATTCTATTTCATTTCAGTTCAAATAGCCACATGTAATCTTCTGATGGCCACATTATATACAGCATGCTGTGTGCAACACCTGTTGCATTATAATTCATGATTTCACTATTCTTGATTCTGTGAGCATTATCCATGTCTAGAAAGTTCTTCTGTATACCTCAGTTGTGGATGATAAACATAGCAAGAGTCGTGGGGCTAAAAATTATAATAAATCAGATAATTATATTTGCCGGTGACTTTAGTGATTTTAGTTAAGACAAATAGGGAGTCTGGTGGTGAGTACAGGGGGAGGTTGATGGCTCTATCCTTCTCTTGAACAGTCCAGGAGTAAGATTACTGGCAAGACAGGACAACTACATAGGAAAACCTGGGGTGGTGGCCTCACACCCACCTATGTGGTCTCAAGGAAGTCACAGTGGCTGGGACTTTCCATTGTTATATTTCTAATTGATAGGAAACAGCACCATTGATTGATCATAAGTGTACGTTAGCTGTTACTGTTGAATTCTTTTCTTTGTGTGTGTATAGTTACTTTGAAACATGATCTCCCTATGTAGCACTGGTTGGCTTGGTATATATTATATTGCCCAAGCTGGCCTCAAACTCTTGGAAGTGTTTCTGTCTCCTGCTTCTGAGTGCTAGATGTATAAGCCTAAGGGTCGAGATTAACAAGATCATGGAACATGTAGTCACATTTAGGTTTTCTGTGATAACAGTAACCTGTCTAGGTGACTGGTAGTACTTTGGCATTGAGTTCCCTATTGATGAGTTCCTCAGGAAGAAGGAGGGAGCTCAGAGGGAGGGAGGAGGGAGCTCAGGAAGAGAGAGAGGTTGGGAAGAGGCAGGAGGGAGTTGAAAGGAGAGAGCTTGTGAGGAGGCAGGAGGGACACAGCACTTGCTGGTCACACTCATCAGTCTCTGCTCCACTGCAAGTGTCTAGGACTCTGCAGCAAGAAAAGGAAGCAGCAGCAGGAGTGGGTAGAGCAGGGACAGATCTGACTGGCCACAAGGTCACTCTCTCATGCCATCTTTCTCACATACCTCTTGTTGCTTCCATCGTGATAAGGCATTTATTTCTTGGACAACGGATGTGCTTCTGCCATTTTCAAGGAGCTGTGTATTAAAACACATATGTATCAGAGTTCCCATCCCACGTACAGGGAGGATTCCTAAATGACAGCCAAGCAGCTTAGTGCCCTGTGGAGAGACAGCTATGTCTCCATTTGCTCTTCAAAGTCTCCTCTCCATCTTGCTTTACCAAAAGCATTTTTTTCACTGCAACATGAGTATACTCTCCATTGTATGAGGCCCAGGAAGAAAAAAACACCACCCTGCCTGGCGCTCCGAAGCCCAGTCTCCCCTTCTCCGCTGCAGCCAGCTCCCGTAAGCATTAAACAGCAGTGTTTTAATATCAACGTCCCTTCTTTATTTGCTGTGACTCGCTGTGACTATGGTGATTTTAGTTACCGTAATTAGGTCACCCTTCATGGAGTCAGGCTATTTTAAGTGGCTCTTTAAGGACTATTGTTGCAGATCAGTAATTTTACAATTGGATGCTCTTGTGCAACTTTATTAAATGTAATATGTCTTTTAAATGTTGCCCTTTTACAGTTATACGTTTCTAATTGTTGCTGTAAATGCATTATCACTTTGAAATTAATTAATTTTTGCATTTGAGCCTCCTGCAGTATAATAATCACTAATGAGAAACTCACAGGGACTAATTCTGAGCACAGTGCCCCCTACTGGCAAGCCCACATCTCTACTGCCCTCTTCCTCTTGAGGGCCACAGGACAGATTTCTTGGGGCTTCCAGGAAAGGGGTGCTTATTCCTCCTTCAGCATATGATACAATAAAAAGAATGTACAAAGGAAATATGCTATTTTAAATATTTAAGCCATGATTTTTTTTCCAACAGCAGTCCCTGAAATGTCTTAAAGGAAACTAAAGTTTATTGAGAGTGTTCTCCTGGTGAAGTCACATCATGTGGGTACTTCATACCAACTTCTCTGTCTCTAAGTTGTGTCTTGTGTGTGCGTGCGTGCGTGCGTGCGTGCGTGCGTGCGTGTGTGTGTGTGTATGTGTGCATGTGCATGCTCGAGCTGTATGTTAGCATACATAATATCATTATTTGTGCATATTAATTCATGGCATCATAATTCACATAACCTGACCTGTGCTGTTATGTAATGGCATAAGATTTCCTAGGGTGATTTTGGCTATTGGCTTTTGCTAAAACATTTGAGGGCTTTGTGGTCCTCGCTATACTCCCAGTTAATGGGCACTTGGGTGGCTCCCACCTGACGTCACAATGCTGGCATCTGCATGTTCATTTTTCCCACATGACCCTTCTGCAGGGTCAGAATGACCTCTGTCTGACCCCAAACAAGCACAGAGAGCTTACCCAGCGTGCTCAAGAAAATGCCGCTTTACTCCCCAAACCTTCGCCAACTCCTCCCTGCTCCATTTCCTTGGTCAAACACAATGTAGTGCCTCTGCCATGTGTGTTTGATTGTGTTGTTACGTTTCCTCGCTAAAACATTTGACAGCACCTTCTTGACCCCCTTCCTTCTTTTTTCTTTTTCCACCTAAGTTTTAAACTCTGGTAAACAACATTCTCGCCAGAGGTCCCAGGGCCAAGCAGGCCCTTGGTGGATCGGCATGTAAATTTCAAGTTGAGCACAGTCATGTGCCTCTAAGGGTGTTTGGAGCAACCAAATATTTGTGTTGGCAGGTAACAGTAGGAAAGAATATCATGTGTTAGGGTAACAAGAGCTTAGCAGATGTTTTAGGGAACTGTGTTTTCATTACAAAAAAAAAAAAAAAAAAAAAAAAAAAAAAGGCTTGAGTCCGTAGATGTTCTGAAAGGATTGGGTTTCTCTTCCTGTGGCCGTGAAAAGGCAGCCATTGTAGCCAGTCTAAGCAGATGTGTGGCTATCTGGCTAATGGATGGGCCTGCAACACTGGGTCCTGTTGCAGGGTTATAAATTACACGTAGAGAAAGCACAACCTAGCATTCTCCTAACCTTCCACAGAGCCAAGCTGGGTAGCTCTGCCCTTGAATAACCCACGGCTCAGTGATTTATAGTTGTGCAATTTTAAAACATAATGAAGGGCATAATAAATGTTGATTTGTTCTTTAAATTAGTATTTTAGCAAAATACTTCTCTCCCTTTACCACCTTCAAAGATCCAGAGCTGGCTACTCTGGAGATGTATTCAAGGGCTGGATCTTTATTGGTATATTTACATGTCCCATACAAGGAAGGAGAGGACTAATGGGGCTTTTCTGTTTTGTTGTTGTTGTTGTTTTGTTTGTTTGTTTGTTTTCTGTTGAGAAAAGAAAATACATTCTGCAATGTAGAAATCTCAGTGTATTCCTCGTTAATCTCAGTATTTTGAGCCTTGCAAGCACGGGTGGAATTCTCTGATTTCTGTGCATCCACAGGCCCAGGTGTGGTAGGAAAGTGGACTTTTAGGACTGTGGCCAGGCCACAGG